ACGGCGGATTCCTCTTGACCAGCTGTCGATTGGCTTTACTGGAACATTCATGCTAACGCTGTTTCCGAGGCAATCTTGTTCGATTCTGGTGAAAAGGTGCTAAGCTTTCGTCCGTCATTTGACGGACATCATCAGAGCGAGGTGTCATCGTCACAACAAAATTTAAGCTAACGAGCCAAGAAAAATCACCGGAAAATCGCTAAAATGTGGTATATATATACTCTACAACTGGCCTATTTGATTAAGTATAAAGTGATTTTGTTAGTTAAAGTCATATGTCAACTTTTTAGTGAGTTGCTGGTGAGTTTTCTTGACTCGTTAGCTTGAATTTTGTTGTGAAACAACAGATTCCTCGAAACCAAATTTTTCTTTGCCATATAGGTCTAGTGCATTAATAATATGCATAAGAAACATGTTTCAAGGCTGTCGGTGAAGCTTAAGTGATTATCATAAGATCCAAGTCAGGCCCAACCACGACAATAATACCTTCTGAAAGGCAATGAAAGGATGAAGCCTACTTGTATCAGTGTGAAAGTATTTAACCGTCAGTTATGCATTCATAGATACGATGTAGAGTGACAAGAAATCGCATTCAAGACTCATTCATAGTTTCGAAACCTACTTTTGATGCATATAAGTAACGTAGTCAACTGTAATGAAAAAATGCAAATTTGTCTCGTCGAAAATCCCACTCTGGGAAAGTCTTGGCCGCTCTTGAATTTTAAGTATTACTCTTGAGGCATGTGGCAATTATATCCTGCGAGGTACAGATGAGAAGAGTTAAGGTGAGGCTAATATTCCCGTCTAATCCATCCTAGATAAGAAAACCTTAAGGAAAACAAGGATAATTGAACCTTATTGAAAACATGAGGCATAAACATCTAATTGTGGGAAAATTTAAGCAGCATTCCTTCATCATTGTATGAGATATGGCGTGGCTTGAACCCATGCTTCTACTCACAAGTATAATAAGTAGGTCTTGAGATGATAAGCAGTACATCTTAAATAAAGAGCGCCTTATGTACGTAAAAAACTGGGTGCATGGCTTTTCCTTTCATACTCACCCATTCTTGATCGGATAAGTTGATGAGGCAGAGACTGGTACTGGAATTTTCCCACAATATTTAGAGCATACATCAGAAACCAGGTTAACTTCAACTTAAACCTTAAACGAAATAAGATGCGTACATCTGATATTACTGATTTACTGGTAGTCGCAAAACTCTACTCAAACACGGAAAATAAGTAACGTAGTCGATTGTTCTAACAAATATAA